TTATTATTATTATTATTATTATTATTATTATTATTATTATTATTATTATTTAGTTTGTTACTCATTATGTGGTTTCTATTTAATTTTTTTCTTTCCTTAGTTCTTCATTATTATTGTTTTTTTCTTTTCTTTTTTTCTCATCTCTCTTCTCATATATATATATTTAAAAGGACCCCAATTACATTTTCTTCGTAGTGGGGTGTGGTTGGGGCCGGTGATTGTGCGTTTGCCTGTGTGTTGCTTCATAACCTTCTCTAAGAGTGTGAAGACTCACTAAAAAATTCCTTAAGGCCCTTTATTTATTCAGTGAACATAAATAATAATAGAAAAAGGAAATACTATATATATATTCAAAGGGGGAATATAAGTATTATATTGTTTTTGTCTGTTTTCTTGGGTTATTATTATTATTATTATTATTTGCGGGGGTTTGGAGTACCTGACACAATAAACAACAAAAACAAACAACGAAGAGAATAAAGAAGGGAAGTTAAAAAAAGGGGCAAAAGAAGAATAATAATAAAAAAGAAAAAGGAAAACTACTGAGCTACAACTGTAGTAGTAGTAGTAGAAAGTAAGTGACAATCATCCATAACAAACAAACAAAGAAACAAAGAAAAAAAAAAAAGAAGGAAGAACCAAACGAAGAATCAAATACGAAAAAAAGAAAAAAATAATCATAATAACCAGGAGAATGAGCAGCTTCAATGACTCCTCTGATTATACTAACAACGCTTCCACGCTTAACTCGGATGTCACCTATGATAGAGAATCGGCTGATGCCTCTAGTTATACAGAAGATCGAACCTCCAGATCGCCATCACGGAAGAGTACTTCAGATAATGATTTTACATCTGGGTCAATCTCCAATGGTGCTGATGGTTTGGTAAATGATGACTCTTACTTGAGTGGTTATGATTCTAGAACCTATGATTCTAGAACTTATGATTCTAGAACCTACGATACAAGAACATATGATACGAGAACATATGATAGTTATACATATGAGGATTCATCAGTTCCACAGTCACCACGTTCTGATGAATTAAGTTCTACATTTGCAAGCTTTTATTTAGAAAGTGATACGTTTCGAAAGATTAGATCCACTATTTCTTTTCTACGTAAACCTCTAATCTTTTTTTCTTTAGCAATACCAGGTACTGGTGGAATTGGAGCTATATGTCGTGTAGTTCATGCTGTTACCGTAGGTGCTGTTCAGCGACGGTCAAGTATGACACCTAAAACTTTTCATAATCCATATGAACTCCCTGATGGATATATGCGTTTTCCTCCATGGATGCAGAATTTTAGACTTTCACTTCCTCCGTTGGTAGAAAACATTGTTAAAAAGATGCTAAACAACGCTGGAGTTCCAGCCCTCACAGATCTACAAAGGGAACGTTGGGCAAAAGCAATGGAAGAGTTAAGACGAGCAGGTGGGGAAGTTGTTTCTCATACAACTCAAGTAACATCAGGTCCTATGGTACCATTAGTTGTTTTTCTTCCATTATTTTCCTTTGTTGTGATTTCTGTGGCTCGCCATATAGTTGCACGTCGTCAAGCTTTAGCAGAAGATGAAGAGGATGAAGAAGAAAATATGTTACATATGGATGATTTAGACATATTTGGATCTACCGAAATTGAAGGTTTGCCCCTTTTACGTAGTGTGGATGATTCTCATAGTGTTATTAAAAATACAACAGCTGCTCTTGCCGCTATTACGGCTTATGAAGAGGGACCTAATGGTAACCATAATCATCTCCATGATAATCTTAACAGTCCTTCTAATAATGATGATCATCATTCTAGTGTGAGTGGACTTCCCCCGCGTCCAGCCACACTAGCTCCATCGGAGAGCCCTACGAATCCACACACTGTACCAAATTCTCGGGATCTTTCCCCTGTTTCTTCCATACATGAAGAGATATCTACATTCGAAGACGTACCCAATGGAAAGGGAACCGCAACAACAACAACAAAACCAGCAACACCAGGAACAGGAACATCTATAGAAACAGGCGTAGGAATTCCAGTAACACCAATTCAAATGGTTCGTACGGCACCTTATGCATTGAAAGGGGATGTAGTGGCGGCTGTTGTAGGTGAGCCAGCGGCGAAGGAAGTGAATGTACTTTTAGTAGCGGCTGCGAGATATAACTGCAGACGAGTGGTGTTGCCTAAATCTGTTCCGTCCTCTTTGTTGGTGTCTGTCCCACCGTCCTTGTCTGTTGAACGGGTGGGAGATGTGATGGAATATGTGATGAGTGTAGAAGAACCCCGTGGACTCACAACTGTTGGTGTTTTTCACCGTCCTGTTACTGACGATACGGTGGATCTTTCTCTCTTTACACATCCAAGCTCAGCCGTGTATGTTTTTGTACCTTCAGGTGATGTGGGTGAGATGGTGGTTTCACACTTGGTGGAACGTTGTATTTACTCATCCCCTTCTTTAGATGAACCAATCCCAGCTAATGCGTGTTTCTATGATCGTTCGGTTAAAGAGCGAGCCAGTGGGTCCACATCAAACAATAATGGCATCATATCATAATGATAGAAAGAGGTATTTATTTACTTCTGTATATGTGTACATGGATGCCAGTACTTTTGATGAGGAATATGAGAATAGAAAGTATATTATATATATATATATATATATATATAGTATTTGTATGTATACTTGTGTGTGTGTGTGTAAGTGTGTATGCATATTGTAGTTTTCCTTTTTGTGTATGTAAGAGAATATTTGAAACACATATACATTTATGATTATTGTTGGTCGATTTGTAGTTTGTTTGTTTTTTTCTACCAACATCATAGAGATAGTTTTTTTTTTTTTTATTCTGCTTTTCCTTTTCTTTACCCCCTTTTTCAATTGAGAGACATCTTTGGATAATGCCAGAGAAAATGATAATTAAATACACTTCTTGATGTGCTGTTTGTTTTATTTTTCTTTTTTTTGTATTTGTTCTTCTTTCTTCTTAATTTCTCCATTCTTTTCTTATTCTTTATTTTTTTTTTCTTTGTATAATATTTGGCAATCTTATTGCCTTCCTAACGTCACATAAAAAAAAAAAATAATTGTCATATCTCTCTCTATATATATATATAAAGTATCAAAAAGAAAAAAAAAAGACTTTATAGAAGGATAAATTGTTTTCCATTATATTCAGAGGTATTTTGTTATCTCTGTGAAGGAAAACACATTAAAACATCTAAAAAAAAGACAAAAATTGAATTACAAAAGTATACATTTTATCATAGAATTCTTCATAGAAAAAAAAGGCTGAAAAAGGAAAACGATAAGGATTTCATACTCCTATACACAGATAGAGATACATATTACAAATTATTTATATATATATATATATATATAATGTTTGAACCACTTCGCATAGAACGCGTACCATCGCGTATTCAACAAGACTCTGTTTGTGTAGCCTTTGCCCTTCACCCCAACACTTCTGCCACCACTACTCATTCTCATTGTTGGGGCAGTTGTACGGTGACAAGTAAGTTAGATCTCATCTTTCACCGTGGAGAGGGTGATGTGCAACAATTACACATTCCAGGGTCTGTTGAAAAAAAGAAACGAACACCCCATTTCTTCCGGCTTTCATGTATAGATGCTTCACTTATACAGGGATACCCCATTTCTTCACATCAGGTGGTAAGTTTCTCTTTTAGTGAATGTAGTAATGTGAAAGTGGAAGGAACGCATAGAGTAACAACTGCTATTGCCCAACATTTACCGACCGTTGCACTTTTACTTCATGTCTCTAGTGCTGAAATGAATGTACTTCTTTTACGTCCTGTTGTACAAATGGAAGGAAAGGAATCTTTAATTCGTTATCGTGCTTCTGTACATCCTACACCTGCTGGTATTAGACATGTAGTAGTCACACGTTGTGGAAGAGCAGCTTTTTTTTTCGGGCAGTATTTTTCTGAACATGATGGACAAATACAATGTTATTCCTCTAGTATTCATGATAATTCTTCACGTTTGGTATTTCAATCTGTACATATGACTTCTACTGCTTATATGCATAGTAGTACAAATGATACTCTTTCCAATGAAATGCCAATAGCATCATCCACCACAGAGAAAGTAAATGATGGAGGTTCTCAACGTATTGTATGGGTAGGCGTACGAAATCCATATCATTGTAGTGGAGTTGTTTCCTCTAATCATCTGGAAGTGGAATTAACTATTCTTACTAACCATGCAGTATCTATGGTATTTCATATCTCTTGGGCTAATACTGTTGGTAATGATGCTACTGTGAAAAGAAGGTCTGCCACTTGTACTTGGACAACACATCTCAGATCTGAACCCTTACATATGGATAGTGAAAATGATATTCTTTTGCAGAACCCTCTTAGTTTGTTAAAACGATGGAAGACTACAACCTCCTTTGCCCGTGCGGTAAAGGAAGAATGTACAGTAAAAACAGATCCTTTATCATCCAATCGTATGATACCTTTACAAGGTCTTTCTTCCTCTACAAGTATAGTGAGAGGAAGTCCAAATGGTGCTGTTATTTGTGTTATTATACCAAACACACATGAAGGTTTCTTAATTGGTTTTGGTTCCACTGTTCATAGAAGTCCCTCTTGTGAAGTTTCCACTGCAGCCATTATGATTCCACCTAATGTGAGAATAGTAGATGCTATTTGGGTAACAGGTCCATTGTGTGGTTTCCTATTATTAGGTACATATGAACAAGGAGGCATATCAGAGTTATTCTTTCTACCTCTCACAGCTCATACCTTGTGGCGTATACACGTAGAAGAGACTCATCAATCTTTTCTTACACATAGAGATGGGACACTTTCAATCTTTTCCTATGGTTTTACAGAAGATATGTTTGGAACTATGCAATTGCGTCTTTCATTAATGTATTGTCAACATCGAGATGGAGATGAGGATGTGAAGGAAGTACGCACAGGTCTAATTTCATTACCAAGCTTTACACGTTTAACACCACTTCCATCTCCATTACATGTATTGCGTTTGGTCTTTCTGACGAGTTTGGCTTCTTGGACTTCCATTCATGATAGCTCTGTTGTTAATAGTGATAATAGTAATGGTGTCCCAGCAGGAGTCCAACCAACAACAACAACAATAATGAATAGAGAAGATATCTCTTTACAGGAAATTCTTTCTCTTCTGGATGGTAAAGATGATCTTCAACTCACAACGGAGTTAATGCTTGAATCTCAACTAGATCCATGGTTGCGTGCGGGAACAGTAGTTGGCGTGCTTCCCTTGCGAGATCTCCTGCGAGAGATATTCACACAACTTCTTGATGATCTACAACGAACTTGTAATGGTACTTCTGATATGACCTTTATAGAAGATAATAAAAATATTATCACTATGATTTTATCCGTTTTTCGTGGTATGGCAGAATCATTAGAAGCCATTTCTCTTACCTATTCACAAACCTTTTTACAACATTACATCTCTGATATTCACACTTTACTAATGTTATTTCGACAAACGGTAACTCTTCTTGGACAATATGGAGCGATATCAGCCTGTTTTACAGCTGTAGCTTATTTTACAAAAGCCATTGATAATGGTATTTGTGCTGGTAAAGATCATATGAATAGTAGTACGAATCCTAATAGTATTCGCTGTTGTCCACAGTGGCGTGTACTTATTTCTCCACTTTTTGATGATGCCTTTGCGTTAATTTCCTCCTGTTCTTCTCTCTCACATGCATTATTGCCGTATTGCAGTACACCCCTGCAACAGTTAATATGGACACGAGAGCGAATGGGAAATACCCCAACAGTTGTGGATACCCACAATGGTGAGCAAACACGATCATTAGAAGAAGTTCTCACACTTGCACGAAAAGGAACATCTGGATTAGCAATGCTCTCTGTAGCGGATGTGTGTTGTACAGCACGGCGGTTATTTTACCGTGATGGTGTGGAGTCAGCTCGGGCTTTTCTTTCAACTGTTGTGGATTCCCATAGGCGACATAGTCAAGAAGTAAATGATCTCTATGTAGAGTACAAGGCAGTAGATAAGGAACTTAACACCATCCTGGACTGTATTTAGTTGTAAGAACTGTGTGTGTGTGTGTATTCTTTTTTTCTTTTGTTGTTTTTTTTTTTTTTTTTCTTTTCATTCAAATCCATACTACTATTAGAAGATAGTTTTCTTCTTTTTCTATTTGATTATACATTTTTATTATTTTTTTTATTTTACGTTTCTGTGTATTAACATACATCGGTTTTACTCTGTTGCTGTTTTTTTTTTTTTTTTCGTTTCTTCTGTGTATGTTTGATCCTTTTTCTTTTTCTTTTTTTTTTTCATATTTAGTGCGTTCTTTTTTTTTTTTTTGGTAAAACCTTAGTTCTCTAATAACATCCCCAAAAGTATATATATATATATATATATATATTCTCTGTTTTCTCTTGAGTGTGTGGGGGTGTGGGGTGTAGAGTTAATTTCTCATGCACACCCATTCCTTATTGGGTCCACCCCGTGATGATTACGTTTTCCCCACCGACGGCTCCGAACACATTCACGCCGATCCCTTCAGCGGCCCTTCGCGGCATCACCGCACAAGCACATCCACCACAGCACCACCAGTCACTCACTGTCCACGGGCATGGCGTTGTTTGGCACTCGGCTGTTTTCACGAGGCATTTCAGTTAAGTGAAGTCAATAATGATGTTATTTGCATGGCAGCATCTCTTATTATGTATGGAGAAACAAAACAGGCTATAAAGACTATGGAGGCTTACATTATCGCATCTTGTGTAGTCGCACATGAAAGATATTTAAAGCCAAATCAAACAGAAGATCACTTTCTTCTTCGTACAAGTGAAGTCATGGCAAGTTGGATGTCGAGTCCTAAAATAGCTTCTAAAGTTATTGGAAAAAGTGCTCGAGCTAATGATGAGGAGTATAGAAGAGCTGTAATGGATACTTGTGAAACTATTAATTGGGATAGCATTCACCGTTGGTTTATTATTGCACTCTTCTTATATGATGATGATTATAAACCACCAGAAGTTGCATGGTTTCGTTACTACTTTGCTCTTTTTAAACAAGGATGTCCATTATTACATAATAATGTTGGTTCTTCCGCACATCTTAAGAAAGTTCGTCCACAAGAACGAGCTTCACCGATTCAATTATTATCTTGTAGTGATGTAGAAGATATTCTTCTTTCCCAGTGTGGAATAGGAGAAGCTGCTTTTATTTCTGCCGTTACTGCATGGAAAACACATCATTACCGTAGTGCTATTACAGCTGCAACAGATTTTTTAAGTTTAGAAGAAACTGGATATGAAATTACAGATCCCAACTTGCGAATTATGGCGTATTTTATTCGTTGTATGTCTTTTATTGCATTAGGTGAACGAGTTTTCGCATCTCATGATGCCGTTTTTCTCTTACGTGACGAAGATGAGTTTACTTCAGCTGTAGGTGCTAGTTTAACTGCATTTCTTATGCCATTACCAGAATCTCTGGATGTAATTAAAAATTATGAAGGACCTTCTTCACAGAGACGTTACGCTTACGCATTATGTGAGTATATTCATGCTTTAACACTTGTTCAACTTGGTTCTATGGAGTCTGCAGTAAAAATTATTCAAAACACTTTAAATAACACAACGGATGATATGGGAGAACTTCTTTTAGATTTACTCGTTATTGCCTGTACGGCATTAGAAGATTCTAAAACACTTCTTAATATACAATTATCACCAGAAAGACAACTTTATCTTGCCATGGCTCCAGTCTTTTATGGTGGTTTTGGAAGTGATTGTGCCAAGTTGCGTACACACACACCAGCAGGACGATTATTATATCCAAAAGAAGTTCCTACATATGCTTCTTTACGTCAAATGCTTCCTTTTTATATGAACCGAGCCCATCATCAATTTGCTCATCATAAATATATAGATGCATGGGAAAATGTTTCCTTAGCTGTTGCCTGTGCAGAAGAAATTATTGGTTCTGTAGAATTTGCCTTTACGGAATGTTCTCCATTAAATGTATATTACTTTGGTTGTTGTGTTGGAGCAGAAGTATTAAATACTTTATTAGAAGTAATGACGGCAAAAGATGCGGTGGCACGGGCGAGTACAAATCACATGACGGTTACTTTACTCACACAAGAAGGTGATATTCTCGGTGAAGAAGTATTACGAAAGTGTGGGGAGTGGGCTCAACGGATTAGACAATTTCATCCAAATGTACGATTAGGAAGTATTGTCCTTGCTCAATATCGTACAATTAGTCGAGCAAAGAATTTTATTAGTCGAGCGATTTGTCTTGCCCAACGTTATCCACGTAGTGTGTTAGCTCAAAATTGTTTAACACTAGCTTTATATGCTAATCATCATATTCCAGAAGCAGTTGATCAGGCGGCAAAAACACTTCAAACATTTCCACATTCTCGTGAAGTGGTTGCTGTTCATCGTGCGATTGTACAAAAGGATGGTGTGTATGTATTTAACTATCGTACACTTTTTCCTGTACGTTATGCTCCTGGATCTCAACGTGTTTGGACAAAAAGGATGATTTTAGTTATTATATTACTTTTTATAAACTTTATTATATACGTATTAACATTACTGGTGAATATGTCTAATTGGGTTGTTTATCCTGAACCTATAAAAGAAATTGCTGTACGTCTACAACTTCCTTCGTTATTTCCACTTTTCTATGCTGTATTGGTTATTGTATATGCGATAATGGCTGCTATTTCACCTCGAAATCTTGTACGTACAATGATGCATGATTTGTTCTTTACCAGCACACGATTGAATTGTTTCCTCTTTCCAATGCGAGGATTAGCTTTTGTAAATACATTTAATGCTTTACAAATTACTATTGCTGGTAATAATTTTCTTTTCGAATCTCATTGGTATACCTTTCTACTCTATGTTATTCTAACCTGTCTCTTTGTTCCCTTTACATCACGAGTTTGGTTTCTCTCTTCAATGGATGAACCAAAGGTTGGAGTGTGGTCGTGGTTGACATTATATGCTATTGACATTGTAACAGGTCTCATTCTTTTGGTTCCTCATATTATTTTATTTGCAATTGAACCATTATCATTTATTGCCTTTTTCTTTTTTCAACCTATTCGTCGACCAGAGGAAAATGATGAGATAAGTGGACATGTGGGAAAACGATTAATTCTACATCAAGCATGTCTTGAAAAGATGTCATCAAGACATTTTACAGGATCTGGATCAAGATTTATTCATATACGTCTGATGTCTTTATTATATTATAAAACACATCCTGATCTTACCACTAGATTTCTTTTAAGATCTCAAATTGATGAGGAAAATTACCGTATATTTCCACTTATTGATGTATATGAACGTATACCTACAGAACCTGTGGATGCGGATATGCTTGATACTAGATTAGCTCAACGACGAAATGCCTCTATTCATTTATTTTCTACTTTACGTACAGTACGAAGTGAAAGTGAAACTGGAGAAAGTTATAAAGATTTATTGGCATCAAGAAGACACTTACGAAGACTTACCGCAGTGGATGTCTGTGATGATGATGATGATACAAATAATGAAGATTATACTGAAATGTCAGAAGATGGACATTCAGATGGTAATAATAATAATAATAATAAATCTAATGGAAGGGGAAAGAGAAGGAAGAAGGGACGTACGGACTCTTCAACTCCCACAATAGATTTAGATGCGGCTCGGGATGGTGATACGAATAAGATGACAAGAAGAAGAAGTCGTCTCACTTCACTGGGTAAATCCCCGGTACTTGATATGGAATCTAAACAAAGAAAAGAAACTCTACGTCCTACTGCTATTGCTCTTGCTGCTCTTAATAAAAGTAAGAATACCAGTCATGATAATGATGATAAGGATAATAAAGAAACCCGTTCAGAAGCTGGGGAACACACAGATCAGAATACTCCACAGGAGTTGTGTAGGGAACAGAGGAATGCTGGTCCGTCGGAATTGTTGGATACTTCCTGTGATAGAGTAGTGATGCCTGGTAATGAAAGATGTTTGCGAAATCGTCATATTGATATGCGATTACGTCTTTCTGAACTTGCTGAAACCATTCGGGAGGAACTCTTAACACAATCTTCCAATCCTTTAAATGCCAATACCGGTCTTCCGGAGAGAACTGGTGGTACATATCCTCGAAGGGGTATGGATGGTTCAGATAGTAATTTTTAATCACCTTTATATATATATATATATATATATATAGTTGTTGTTATTATTAATGGTGTGCTTCCTGCGATATTCCCCTTTTGGGGCTTTCTTTATTTCATTATTACTGGCAGTAGTAGTGGGGGGCAACTAAGAGAAATAGTATTCTTTGTGTTTACACCTGAAAGTGGTTTTTTTTTTTTTTTTTTTCTTCGTTCATGTTGATGGAAAGGAAAAAAAAAAAAAAATGGATTAGATGGATTCGCAGTGTGTGTGTCTGTGCGTATAAATGAGTTTTTCTCTAGAAGGTATGATGGAACCGGAGGTGAAAGGAACGCAAAAAAAGAAAAAAAAAATCGGTTATAACGATTAAGATAGAAACTCAAGGAGAGAAGAGTAGTGAAATGACCAGTAAAAGGAATAATATATATATTGCAGAAGGATGCAAAATGTTGTCTAAATTGATGGTGCAAATGTACTTTGTTATTTTTGTTTTGAATGTTAAGTAGTGTACAGGTGTGGTGAAATTGAAGTGAACATAGATAAAGAAAATATCAATGATTGGAGAAGATAGAAAAAAAAGAAGGTTGAAATTAAGAAGGAGAAAAAAAAAATATCCACAGAGGTATTTGACATAATATATATATATATATACTGTGGTAAAAGAGAGATGGATACAGTTCAACAGGTTATTGAAGATAGATTGATGATGAGAAAGAGAAAGAAAAAAGAAAAAAATGGCATTTTATATGATAAAAACAGTTCATGCAAGGTAATGGAAGAAAAAACAAGAAATGGAAATGATCACCAATAAAGTTTTATTACTTTATCGACGTTTATTTCTTGTTTTTTCTTTTTTTTTTTTTGATCTTTTAATATTAACTTTTTTCTTTGTTGTCATTTTTTTTTTTTTTGTTATTTGATTTCCTTGGAAATAAACTATCTTGCATATGTATACCCCTTTTGTATCTATGTTTCTTTAATCTGTTTTTTTTTTTGTTGTTTTTCTTCTGTTTTTATGTGGTTGTTTGTGTTTATATATATATATATATATATATATATAATAAATGTTTACAAGTTATTCCGATGCTCCTGAGATAGCTTGGTGTTAACTCACACTATCCATTTGTGCAACACATTTCTCCCTCACTTTGGGAGGGAGAGAAAATGATACATTCTGTTACTATATGGTCTATTCACATGAGCAGAAAGAAAAAAAAAAAAAACGAATAAAAAACAAATGAGCGTAGTTGTGAGTTTTGTATAGTTAGAGAATATAGTTGATTTATCATTTCTCCTTTTCTTATTATTGATGGATTTATCCCCATCTTTATATTATACTGCCTCCCTGTATGTATTACTAGACACACTCCCTCTCTTTCTCTCTCTCTCTCTCTCTCTCTCTATCTATATATATATACAAGTATAGGGATAATATATATTTAAATATATATATATATATTTCCATTTCTTCATTGGAGTCAAATGACGTTGCGGGACGCAAACTCAAATGCAATGGCGGGCAGCACCGGCAGCGGCAAAATAAATCCGACCGCGTCCATCAGCACAGATGAAACTCGCGTGGAGTGTGCGTGGCGGCCCATCACTCCAGCAGAGGGCGACGCTCTTGCACGTCTTCTTCTCGAACGGGCCACCGCAGCACCGGTGCGAGTTGTCGATCTCATTGATAATCAACTCGGCCCACTGCAGGCACAACGAATTGCCGCCGTGTTGGAGTCTTCACCCGTGCGGGAGGTACTCTTGCGATATAATGATATTGGAAAAGAGGGGTGTGATGCCCTCGCAAGTGTAATTAATGTATCTACAAAATTGCAGTTACTAGATATACGAGGGAATGGACTCACAGCGGGATGTGTGCGGAAGTTAATTAAATCTATTTCCATGTCTACCGCCCTCACACGATTGGGACTCAGTGCTAATAAAATTGGTGAGGAAGGTGCCGCTTTACTCTTTCAAGGACTTGAGAAAAATGCCTACTTAACATCTCTTGATATCTCATTAAATGAAATTGGACCTAACGGGGCTGCGAGTATTGCCAAGTTATTGGCACTCCCAGCCTCACCCTTACAAAGTGTACAAATGTATGGTAATCATCTCGGATGTACAGGCATCACGGCTATTGCAAACGCCCTGCAGCGGAATCGGTGTCTGCGGGAAATAACACTCGGCAACAATAATGCCACAGATGCCTCTACAGAAGCGCTTGCAGAGATGTTAAGAGAAAATACAACACTGGAGTATTTGGATCTTCGGTTGAATACCATCACCGCAGTGGGAGCACGTAATCTTGCCCATGATGGACTTGCCTATAATACATTTCTTCTTTCTTTGTGTCTCTCTGGGAATCCGATTGGAAGTGTTGGTGGAGATGAGATTGCAAAGGGACTCATTATGCATCAGAGTAGTGCTCTTACAAGACTTGATTTGAGTTCATGTGAACTTGGACCAACAGGAGGAATGCGAATTGCAAGTCTTATTGCTGCTACCATCACACTTGCAGAGGTGAATTTAAGTGATAACAAATTGGATGATGAGGCGGCTGTAGTACTTTCGAGAAGTATTGTAAATAGTATTTCTATCTCTGTTGTGGATTTATCTTCTAACGAGATTGGAGAATGGGGGGCAAGTAATTTAATTGATGCCACACAATTAAATTCTCGCATGTCCTCTCTTGTTCTACATGGTAATAATATTAATCGTGTGGTTCAAAAGAAGATTGATACATTGCTAGGGGAACGTCTCTCCCGCAATCGTGTTGAGCAACATCAAGCCTCTCTTCACCACCAACAACAACTCTTAAAGCAGGTTCTTTGATGATGATGATGATGATGATGATGATGATGATGATGATGAGAGGTCTGCGTTTACCCCCTTTTTTTTCATCATTTCTTTTTACTTTTCTTCCTTTTTTTCTTTCTTTCTTGTTATTTTCTTATTTTTTCCTCCTGTGAGAAGGAAATGAGAAGAGAAGAAAAATGAAAAAGAAAAAAAAAAATATGGTGGAAAAATATGTAATATACACTTTTGTGTCAATGCACTTATTCTTCAATGAACTTTTCTTTTTTTTTTTGTTTATATTTATGTACACGTGTATGTGTATATTTGGAATCTTTCTTTTCTTCTTTTACTTGTTTCCATATCTCTATGGGTCTCGTTAATTCTTTTTTTTTTTTTCTTTTTTTTTTATTATTATTATTTTTTCTTTTTTTCTCTTAAGGTACCGGTATAAATTTGCTCCAAAGGGAGAATACCAAAAAAAAAAAATTAGAAAAGAGTGTGGTATCAAGTGAAAACACACACAAGCAGAAATGCAAAGCATGCAGTTAGATGCTCTACAAAAGGAAGTGATAGCTTCAATAGATAATCCGCAGACAATTTCACAGTACTTAAAAAATGGTGGAAATATTCAATTAAATGCAGATATTACTGGAAAACTCCGTAGTAATGGAGATTCTGGATCTGATTTAAATCGAAATGCTAATGCAGGCAAACGACGTGGGCGTCATGATGATAATACCGATTCGATGAATAAACGAACACGAACAGAAGTGAGAAATACCGCTCCTGTAGCCAATTCACCCAGTACTTCTGAAGTTGAAGGATTACATGATACTCTTCCATTAGAAACAGCTTTTCTCACTTTCTTGGAGATTATCACACCAACTTCAAGAGAGCGTAGAGATACAGAGCAGGTTTTACAAGATTTGGGATCTTCTCTTTTTCGTTTGGGATGGCGAGTGGATTTGTTTGGTAGTTGGTATACAGGTCTCTGCATTCCAAGTAGTGATGTGGACTTTGTGGCCTCCCCACTTTCACCCACGGGAGGAGGAAACAATACAACTCAACGTGGAAGTGGCATGCAAAGAAAAGGCGTTCATAATAATAATAATAATAATTACTCGGATGGGAATTTAATGTTACAACTTATTGCCCAAGGAGGTGATAACTCCTCTGTAGCGAGGCGAGAACGGAGAAGAATATATTCGGGTTTACTCCGTTCCGTAGCGAATGCTTTACGTTTTTCTCCCTCCTTTCACAGTATTCAACAAATTGCACATGCTAAAGTTCCTATTGTGAAGGCTCAACACTGTGGAGGAAAGAAAATTGATGTTTCCTTTTTAAAGGATGGTCAAATAAGTTCACGATTTCTTTGTCAAGAGTTTTTAAAGCCGCAGTTTCGGCTTGCCCGTGGTCTTACTATATTAGTAAAGGCACTAGTGGCAAACTGGAGATTGGATGATCCAAGTGTTGGTGGTCTCGGCTCTTTTCCCACATCCGTGATGGTATTATGGTTTTTACATGCAGAAGTTGCTGATCATTATCCACCAGAGTGTAGAGACAGTTATGCTGTCTGTCTGGTTGGGTTTCTTAAATACTACAGTATGCAGTTTGATCATAAACGAAGAGGTATAGATTATGCTAACAAGCGTATCTTCGATAAACCCCCTTCATCTGAATTATGTGTGATGAATCCATTAATGCCTCATGCGAATTGTTCTGTTGCCGCTTCTCTCTTCTCTTCTCGTGTGGTGCCAAAGTTTCGCGAGACGTATGAGAGATTATCACAATTACTGGAATACACCACAGATACATCTACAGTAGAGAAGGTAGTGTTGAGTGTATTCAGTCGATCTATTAATGCGGTGGGCGGTAGTGGAGTTTGGCGGCAACTGTACAGGCGTAAACGTGCAAAGGTGCGGGAACCTCAACATTTGTGGGATGAGCGAACCTGCATATATGCAGGAGATCCTATTGGAAGTTGATGCATTTTGCGAAAGAAAAAAAAAAGGAAAAGAAAAAAATAATCATCGTAAAAAAAAAAAAAAAAAGAGGAAGTGCCGAATAAATCGTGGAATACGTTTACATTTATTTATTTATTTACGTATAACTAGAAAGAGTGTGTATAATTGTTTGCTATTGAGACGGAATATATATATGTTATGTATATATATATATATATATATATATATATATACAGCTATTGTGTACTTGGTTGATCTTTTCATTCTTTTCTTTCAATATTTAGTACAGCGTAGCTACTTGGAGGAACGTTTAGCCCAAGCAAGAAATATGAATAGGCAGATGGAAACATCTTCTTTTATTGCACACTTCTTTCCTATCCCCAACTCTTAGTAAAGAGGAGAGCAATGTTTGAGCTGTGAGTCAAATCCCCGGTATTATTATTATTATTTTTTTTTTTTGTTTTCGTCCTTTTAATGGTTCTTCCTTGTTATATTTATCGGGTATACTTGCATGTTTCTTTTTTTTTGTTGTTGTTTTTCTCTTTTTGTTGTTGTTTTTTTTTTTTTTATTTTTACGAACTTCGTAAACACACAATAATATTAACAACAACGAAAAAAAAAAAAAAATACATCTTGTTCACACAATAACTCTTTACAATTATATATATATATATATGTATATAAAAGAAAAAGAAAAAACGAAAGGAAATATTTCGCTTGAAAGAGTAACATTTGAGTATGTTCGGTGAACTCATCTGCGGACCTCCTGGAAGTGGAAAGACAACCTACTGTGAAGGAAAACGACAATTTCTTAGTGTTTACGATCCCACGCGGCCTGTTGTGCTGTTGAATTTAGATCCCGCGAATGAAGATATCTTCCCGTACCCGTGCGATATGGATATAAGAGAATTGGTCTCTCACGCCCGTGTGATGATGGATGAGGGACTTGGGCCAAATGGAAGTTACATCTTCTGCGCCTCCGTGATTGAACAGAATATGGAGTGGATTGTAAATAATATTGAAATGGCAGTGGAAAGACGTCTACGGGATCTCGCTACAACAACAACAACAACAACTTCTTCTTCTTGTTATTCTACACGTGCTCCTTATCTTATTGTAGATTGTCCAGGTCAGGTGGAGTTCTATGTTGGATCTACAGTTATGCATGAGTTATTTAAAGTCTTACAGAAACGATTATGTTGTACATTATGTACAGTTCATCTTGTGGATGCGGCTATTTGTACACGTGATATTTCCACTTATGTTTCAAGTTGTTTGTTAAGTATTACAACTATGATTGATCATGAATTACCGCATGTGAATGTAATGACGAAATGGGATACTTTATCTCCTGAAGAAGTAGAAGAAGGTGAGGCTTATTTACGTGCTTCTTCTTTTATGGCAGAAGACTTTGATCGTTTATGGAAAAAACAACTACGGAAAAGACGCCGTGAACACCGAAGAGCAAAACTATATCCTACCGCTAATGAAAGTAGTCCTCGTTTAGATCCAAGGAAGGAAGCGAAATATGATGAAGAAGTAGAGGCAATTGATTTAAATAAAGATGGTGGTCATTTATATCACTACAGTAAGTCTGTGATGGATGTTATTGATGGTTATGGATTAGTGGGATTCCAACCTCTTGACGTACAATCACAAGATATGATGCTGCGATTAACCCAACAGATTGATGAAGCTGTCGGTAATTTTGTGTAATTTCTTTTTTACTTTTTTTTTTTTGTTTGTTTGTTGTTTTCACAAATTTTTGGAAAGTCATTGTTGTTGTTGTTTTTGTTGTTATTTTGATTGTTGTTGGTGATTCTCCTAGTGGTAGTGTGATGTTTTTTTTTTTTTTTTTCACCTACAAGAGGAGAAAATAAAAACTGTGAGGTTTGTATACTCTTTCTTTCTCTCTCCCTCTTTATTTCTCTGTGTGTGTGTGCGAATCTATTTATGTGTGTGAACTTTTTCTTTCTTTTCTCTCTCCTTGTGTTTTTATTATTATTATATTTTTGATTTGGTAATGGTTAAATTGTAGTGTGAATAGCTGTAGACGATGATGGACGCATTACTAGAAATTCTGCGAACATCTACAGATAATGAGGAACGAAAAAAAGCATCTGCACAACTGCGTCATATACAAGAAACTACTCCAGAGTCTTTTCTTACATATACATGGGAAGTGATATCTTCTCCTGGAGTCCCAACAGCGGTGAGATTTTTTATAGCTTCTACAGTGGTGGAGTTTGTGGAGCAATCATGGCATAATGGTGTTCCCAAAGAAATTCAATTTAATATGATTGATTGTTATTTGCAGTTATTGTTAACAGAGACATTTCCATTACTCGCGTTGAGCCGAAAAGTGGCCGTTGTGTTAAGTTTAATGGTAATGCGATGTGGTGTGAAGGCAGCCCCAGGGGCATTACCAACACCAATGGAGCGAACAGCCACATTATTAGCAGATGCGGCTATTCGATCTGCTTCTAATAATAATAATAATAATAATAATAATAATAATAATAATAATAATAATGTGAATACAGTAGGATTTACAACACAGACTCTTTTAGCACTTCATATCTTTCTCAAGGAAGCACAGAAAAAACGTATTGGTGGTGTATTTCCTAAACTATGTAAGCTTCTCGTTCCTGTTATGTCGACTCTCTTTTCAGCAAGTACATCATGGGATCATGTAGAGCATTATCTTCCTTTCCTTTACTTGTTGAAATGTGCCCTACGTGTTTTTGGTTTTGGTGTATTTGAAGTGAGTTTTTATCCATACTTGTTAGAAACCACATGGAGACTCGCAAGGGCCTTAAGTACAATGGACCAACAATCTCAACAACAACAACAATGCTGTCAACGTCTATTAGAATATGCTATAAAGGTACAAGCCAAGATGGTTAGTGTATTTCCTTCACGTTTACAAGAGTTAACCCTTTCCTTTTTTATTCAAGGACCACATAATGGAAATCCTGATGTTTCTCTTTTTGGTTTAATAGATGCTATTCTGTCTAGTCCAGTTGGTGTTGTAACAACAGAGAAGATGTTATGTCGTTCTCTACGACTTCTTACAACGATGTTTTCTGCAGAAGACTCGGATACTTTCACGGCGGGTTGTTTAACAACACTTGCCAACTCTTCATTACTTGCACATATGATGGAGTCTGTGATGATGCGACTTGCAGATGACACGAGTGCGACTTGTTTGCGGGCGTGGGATGTGCAACCGGAGGTGTACGCTGCAGAATTGGATGTGGAGTTGGATGATGAGAATTCTGTAACGAGTTGTGCAGAGGAGTTGTTGTTGGCGTTAACGGGATCTACACATTGTGCTGCGGTGAGTTTAACAGTAGCGTGGCGTATTATTAATAGTTTGTTGGAGAGTGGTGATGTGGGACAAGTAACAGCCGCACTGCATGCTATTGGTATATGTTACTATACAATGTCTGTTGGACAAGACCCGGAAAGTTATCTTGCATTTCTTACAGGAAAACTTCTCCCACTTATTACAAATGCTGCTGCTACTAATAGTAATAGTAATAATAATAATAGTGTTTCCCAAACTTCACCCTTTGTACTGCGGCGTGTAGTGTGGATTGTTGGGATGTGGTGTGAGTCTGTTTGTGATGTTCATATGCGTCGTCAAGTGCATATGGCGTTAGGATCTCTTTTACAACCGACAACACACACAGTCGTATTGTTGTGTACACTCCGCTCTATTGGAAACTTCATTGATGACTCTAATTTCACCTCTGCAGAGATGACTCCAGAGTATGTGCATACTATATTATTAGCAATTCAACGTCTTTTACCGCAGTTACATTCACCATCTAGTGTAAAGGGACTTTCTGCTCTTGTGTATGCGATGATTACACGTGGTATTCTTGATGTTGGTACTGGAGAGTTATTGCTTGATGTTTTACTCCCAGCGGTGTATCGCTTTGTAAGTGAGGCGGAAACTACTGTAAATGCCAGCAATAATAATAATAACAATAATAATAATAATAATAATAATAATAATAATAATAATAATGATGATGATGATGATGAAGAAAAGGAAGAGTTTGATGCTGGAGCAATGGGAATGTTATTAGATTGTGTTGGGGCCTGTGCCTCTATTGCGGCACCAGAGTTAAGTGATCGTCTGTGGTCGTTATTTCCAACAGTTGTGGTTCCATGCACAGTAATGGGCGGTAAGTTAACAATATGGGTAGAGGATCACGCATGGGAGTTACTCCTCACAATGTCTCGAGCAGCGTATGTTTGGAATTCATTTACACGAGATGCTCTTTTATGGTGTTTAGAGAATATGAAACGGGATATGTCTCTTTTACATATTGTGGTTCGATGTGCTTATACATTATTACTACTCTCTCCTGAACCGATGGAGTTTATTTCGTCTGGGTTAATTGATCACGCGGTGACGGTATTCACACAAACACCATCAAGTGAATTGGAATCTGCATACTTTGCATTATTAGGCGTTATTCTAAGGCGAGGCGATACATCTCTACGATGTCATTTTCTTCATTCTGCACTTCATCCTTTTCTTTCCTCCGATTCTGTTCAATCCGATTTGTTTAGTATACATTTAGGGATTCTCCTTGCCTGGTGTGTTCCCCCTTTTGGGGATGATAGAGCTTTAACTGTATTGGCTCAGGTGGTATCTCAACATGTAAATGCGGCATCTTTTGCAGAGCGTATTGTTTTACTTGTGGATGTTTCCCCAAGTGAGTTGGTGACAAATCAATTGATTGGATTAATGCGATTGATGCTGCAACAACTGCAACCGTTACTGCAGGCAACAGATGTGCAAATGTTGCAACACGTCATTGCAGGGGTGGAGACGAGGGAAGCAGAAAAACAAGAAAAGTTAATAAAGAAGAAGAAACACATCATTGGTGATAATAATAATAATATGGAGGAGGAGGAGGATGATCTGATACGTGATCCTGCAGAGATGTTACTGGAACTTTTTGGTGATGAGTCTGTTTCAAATAAATCTCCGCATATACATCGACTTTTGTCTTTGTTTGGGATGAACGTATAATGGTAACTCTTGTTGTTGTTGTTTTTTTCTTTTTGAGATTTATGGAATCTATTCAGAGAAGAGTTACGTGTTGTTGTTGTTATTCGTTTTGTTTTTGGGTGTCCGTTTATTGGTTTGTGTGTATAGATCTCTTCATTACTACTATGAATGAGCTGTGGTATTTTATTTCTTCTTGTTGAGTTTTTTTTTCTATTTTATTTCTTATTTTCTTATTTTCTTTTTTATTCTATCATAATTGATTATTACACGTTTCCCTATTCATGTGTAAACATATAAATGTGAAAGAAAGTTTTAAAAACACGTACAAAACAAACCAATAGTACTATTATTACTACTACTATTACTACTATTATCAGTGTACATATTATTTTCTCCCACTAGTTCGCACATCATGTCATCTTCAGTGGGAGCCCCAGACGATATTGAGAATTCTACACCTGTTGTAGTGAGTGATGGCAGTCGTGTGGAACCCATTAACGGTCTTTCCTTTGTGGATGACAGTAAAATGGATCATGACTTTCGACGATTAAAAGGGAATCAAATGTATTATGTGGATCGATGTTCTTACTATGATGGTAGGGAAGATCATGCTGAATTCCGTATTCTTACATTAACACCTCTTGCAGTATTTGTGGTGGATTTTAATGGCATTATGGATCGAGTGACACCTTATGATAAAATAACGGAAATATATCAAAAAAAAGCCAAGGATAAGAAACTCCTTTCCTTCTTAACATCAGAGAATCACCTGATATTAAAATCACCAGAACAAGTGGACGTTCACGTCAGTTTTCCAACCCCCACCGCTTTACATAAATTCACTGAAATACTTGTGAAGATATTAGAGGCACACCGTCGATCTACAGTCACTCTGCGGGATATTCCCCCTGAAAGGGAGATCACCGCCTATTATAGTGATAAGCGGGCGGAGGGGTACCGCACACCGCGGGAAGTGGCGGAGATCAAACGACAACGTGCCATTCTCGAAGAGTGCACAGATGATGGACTGCGAGATGTGATGGCATTGCAGTCGCAATTGCAGGAAGTGGAGGCGCAAGTGGCCGCACTCAATGAAGAAGTCAACACTTTAAAACAAAAGGGCGGTGATGAGGCCACAGCACGTGGACAAAAGGCGAGTGTGGAACATACACAAATGCAATTACACCGTGAAGTGGCGGATAAACATGAGGAATGTGAACGTGTATTGGATAAAATAAAGGCTCTGCAAGAGGAGTTGGTGGCCGGCGGTGCGAATGAAGATGCACTTATAGAAAAGGAAGTAGCGGAGATGATGTCAAAATCAATTAAAAAACATCAAGATGATATAGCACTTCGCCGTCGTGCCCAACAGAAGGAAAAGAATGTTATAGAAGCTGAAATTGCTACACTTAAGCAGGATTTATCTGTAGCGAAGAGTGGTGAAAGTGCTGAAAGAATAAAGATGAAGGCAAGTTTGGATTCGGCATATGCAGAATTTGAAAAAGAGTTGGAAGTCTTGTTTCGCCTTGAAAAATTTTTCGCGACCGTTAATGGTGAGGTACGGGTACATAATGATCGCATCAGTGCTCAGAACAGTGAAAAGTTTGAACTCATAAATGCCCGAGAGAAAAAGAAGAATGTTCTTTCACCAATTACATCACCAACAGAAAAAAGAGGTGGTGTATTGGATAACTTGTTATTGGATGACACTCCAACGGCTGCTGTTAACGATCCTTTACTCGGATCTCCACTCTCTGCAGCCATACAAGGAGCAGGAGAACCAATCTCAGTGGATCCATTAGCTTCTCCGTCAGCAGGAGATGATTTATTGTAGTAATATTCATTGTTGACAGTGTTTTTTTTTTTTTTTTTTTTTTTTTGTTTGTTTGTTTCTTTATCGTACTTTATCCCCTCTCTTTCTGAATATATATATTATCGTGATATTGGATTACTTTGTAGAATAAAGTAATTCAGGTTTAACATAATGTCTGTTTATTTAGCAGTACTATTTATTTGATGACAAATTCTCTTTTGTTTAGGACAATTATTTTGTTTTTCTACTTTTTTACCATCTCACTCAACCCAATATCTAGTCTCCCCACACGGAGGGGTGCGAAGAGGGGGAAAAAAAAACACCTTAAAATCTGCCACTTTGTAATTGCTACCGGATGATTCATTTTGTAGATGGTAAGTTCAGTTTGTTATGTTTTTTTTTTCTTTTCTTTTCTTTTTCCTCGTTGTTGGTTCATTAGCGTTGGGTTTGGTAATGAATTTCTTTTAGTATATATAAATATTTATTTATATTGAGTTCTCTCGCGTGTATTTCATTCTATTTTTGTTGTGCAAGACTTGATCACAGTAAGAAGTATATTTCTAATTTATTTTTTCTTTTCTCTTTGCTCCCTTGCTCCCTTGCTAGTTTTCACTATCTACTAAACGACTCTAGTCACCACAGTCCGTTAAACAGATAAACCCCCGAAGAGAAAGTATGCTCCGCCGTATTGTTGCCAAGCCCGTGAGTCGAGTGGCGGCCACTCCCACTGCGGTCTCCTCCGCGTTGGCGGTGCGCCGGGCCTCTACGGTGGCCATCTCCGTTCAGGGACTTCACTACGTCGGCACCGGACTGGCGGCCATCGCCCTCGCCGGTGTGGGTCTGGGCATCGGCACCATCTTTGGCAATCTCCTCGTCGCCTGCGCCCGCCAGCCAAACCTGACAAAGATGCTGTTTAACTACGCCATTCTTGGTTTCGCGCTTACAGAGGCTATTGGTCTGTTTGCCCTCATGTTGGCCTTCCTGATGCTCTTCTCGTAGAGAATGAGTTAGCAGTAAATGGGACCTCTTTCGTTCTCTCTGTGTCTGTGAAAAAAGAAAAAAAGAAAACTAATGGAGGGGTAGGGAGAGAGTTGGATTCTTCTTATTCTTCTTCTTGTGTGTTGGAATGGTGATAGAAGAAGGGCTGTAAGCATGTGATGTTTTTATTTAACATATTTTTTGTTTGTAATATTCCTTTTTTTTTAATCTCTTTCTCTCTTTCGTCCTTCTTTTCTTTTTTTTTTCTTTTTATCTGTCTCCTTTGCCTGTTCTTTTTTTTTTTATTATGTGTGTGTTTTTTTTTCACATCCAGAGTAATATATATATATCTGGAATGGTGAAGAGAAAGGAATAGGGAGGGAAAAATAAAAATAAATGAAACAAGAAGAAGAACAATTATGAGATTTTTAAGGAATTGGGTATATTACATACATCTATATATATATTTATATTTATATATTGATTCAATGAGAGAATAATAGCAGCTATGAATGGTACAGAGGAGGAAAATGAAAAAAAAAAAAAATATTAATAATGAGCGAATGGAAAGAGTGAATGGGGGGAATAAGGATGAAAGCAAATAAAACGAAAAAAAAAAAGAAAAGAAAAAAAAGCTGATTTTTTATGATAGTGAAAAATACTTGTGATATTGTGATGCTGTAAACACAGTTATACAAACCCTACACTTAACATCATCATTATCATCATGATGTATTTATCTTTCTTCATTCTTTTTTTTTTTTTTTTAATTTCATCCTATTCTCTCTTCTTCATCTCCGTTTCATTCTTTCTTTAATTAGTTCATTAGTTTATTTTTTTTTTTTTGTTGTTGTTGTTGTTACTGTTGTTATTCTTGCTTGTTCTTCCGTACTTTGTGTATGTGTGTGTGTTTAATATATGTACACGATTCCTATCTTTTTTAAATGCTTCTCTCCTTTTTCTTTCTTTCTCTCTCTTTTAGCTTTTTTTTTTTAAAAAAAAGGTTTTTGCGTTTGTTTTCTTCTGACATTCGCTCCCTTGTTTGGCTTTTTAGTTTGGGGGGGACAGTGTTGTTAAGTAAGAGTACAATTGCAGAAACAGAAAGGTGGTGGGGGAGGAGGAAGAAGAAGAGGGGATTGTGTTAACAAAGAAAGATAGATCAGTGTACTCCCATCTTTGGTAAAGAGGAATAAATATTCAAGTCAAAGTAAACATTCAGAAATATATATATACGTATATATATACTCGTAAAAAAGAAAAAAAAACCGATAGACGATTAAAGTAGACAAAATACTTTGTGTGTAGAGTCGGTTTAAAATGCCCGTTAACGAAGCTCCATGGCTTACAAGAAAGATGGAGCTAGTTATTATGATTGCAGTTTTTTTATTATGCTTCGTTTCTGATTTTTTTAAGTGTAAAAGTGGTCGAATGGCTAATTGTGTTGGTGGTTCTGCGATGCTGTGTGATAGAGATGTGGATAGTTCATGGTGTACAGATATGGTATTACCACAATATGCGGTGGGAGGTGGAAGTAGTAGTGAAGAAACATGTGCGTGTAGTAAACACAACAATTCCTTATTACTTTTTCATATTGTAGAGGTGGGAGCTCCTGTGGCTCGTACGGTAAAAACGAAAAGTATTGAACGTGTACCAATAGCCCCACTTGTGATGTATGCATTACGGAATAAAACAGGAAATGTGATCTCTACAAATATGAAGAAAGGATTATTGAGTTCTGACTTATTTACACCACTCCGTGAAGATATTGGATTAACGCCACATCATGGAAGTAATTGTACTCCAGTAACGAATAAATTCAATATATCTTATAGTTATGATACCGTATCTGTTCCGGTAAAATCTAATTTTTTGGCAGATATGGAATCTGTATTACCATTTAAAAATGATTTTTTTGCTATTCGACGTTTTCTTCCTGGACTCTACCGTGTATTTGAAAAACTTCTTTCACGTAAGGGTTCGTTTTCAATTGATAAACGTGATCCTTGTATGGGAATTCATCTCGTTATGGTTATTAATGTCCTCCCAGGGGCAAACGCCTCATGGACGAATGTTGATGCTGCTTCTATTCCCCAAACACTCTTTAATGCTCAGACACATGTGCGAAAAACTATCAGTCGTTACTTGCGAAAGAAACCACGATATACACGACTGTTGAGAAGTGTCTGGTATGTGAGTATGCCAATTGGGTATCCTGTGCATGCGGATTCTAATGAAACTGTTAACACACACGCTGCTCTCTCGACTACAGATGTTAGTAAAAAGGTAAAAAAAACTGGGATAGGAGAAATGGCATCTGTAGATGATTTAATATCGAACTTTTGCCCTGCAGAAGGAGAACAGGGAAAGGTATGTAGTGAGAAATGTAATTTTTATGAGAGGGAAGTTTTATCCTACAAGGTGGCGAATGAAGGTTTAGTGAAGATGACAGTTAATGGAGGGCAACGTATTGGGCTTCGTAGTATTTTAGCCCCTTATAATGATTATTATCACATGAATAGTACTGGAATACACACTTCTAATTGGCGTGACTGTTTATATCTCTCTGCTGAGGGTGCGGCAGTGATGGCACGAAACATCGCAGAAGGTCTTTGGACCTCCTGATATAAAAAAAAAGAAAATAGAAAAAGAGAAAAAGTAAAAGAAAGAAAAAAAAAAAGGAATAAGAAAATGTTTTTTTTTTTTTTT